ATCCACTTAGCAACGAATACTCCACAATCATTTATGCAATGTTTATTTGTGGTAACAGAATTTTGATTAATGTATTTATAATATAATAATAATAAATATAAAAACTAATTTATTCAAGATAACATTAAAGAATTTACTTACGATTCAGGTTGTTGTTGTCCTATGTTGGTTGGCACCTCCAAAGTATAATCCGAAAATTGGGGTTTTTTGGTGAAATCATTCTTATAAAATGAGTCATCCAATAACATTTCTTCCAAAAAAAACAGCCTGATATAAAATAAATTGTGGTTAGTAATTTTAAATTTTATTTGTTTTAAAAAATAATAAATGGTTTTGTAAAATAATTATTATATTTACCAATTTCCTAACATTTCTCCTTCGATGAGCATTTCTTTTGTTGTTTGGGCAAGAATCCAACATAATCAGTTTTTCCTTGTTCAGATCAATAAGCATGAGATATCAATGCATATTCATGTCATTTATCAAAATAAATATCTGAAAATAATAAATTTGGCAGACATTAATTTAGTATTTTTAATGGGAAATTTGTTTAAAAAATTTAGGGTTGTTGACCAAAATATTACAAACCCTGGACAAATAATCAATTTTTCCCATGAAATAAAGAGGTTAATAAATGTAATATTAGAAAGAAAAAAAATGTTGATATTATGTGCATACCGCAACGGTAGTTGGTAAATACCAATTTTCCGTATAGTTAGGAATTGATCTTTCAATGTTAGTGAGAATGGAAGCAACTAAGATAAGAACCTACATGAATAGGTTAAGAACATGAATAAATAAATGAAAGAACTATTATTGTCGAATTTTTTTATAAATGTTTATAAATTTTAAATATGAAAATAATGTATTACAAAATAATAAAACAAATTTTAGAAACTTACATCTTGATCAACTAATCCTCTTGGTATTAGTGTCTTCAAATTGTCCCTGTAGCCTACTATTTCTCTAGGCCCAGCTGTTCTGATTATTATTTATCTCCTATTAATAATCATTTTACAATGCAACTTAGTTACTTGTGTAGCATAAAATATTTTTTTATACTTATATAAGTTAAAGTATTTTAATAATAATAACTGATAATGTCATATTAAACTAAACTTACCCATTTTTGTCATCATCCTTATTTGTACCAAATATATAAGCAGCAACTACTGATTGAATATCATCCACTATCATGTTTTTCGGAATATTGAATATCATAGGTATCCACTGAAAATAATAATGAACAAATTATAATATGACGAATTTATTGAAATATGACAAATATATGACACAAAAAAAGATTATACAAAGGGAAATACCTGTGGTATTTTTACTGCCTTATTTAGACCTTCGTAATGTGTACTATGTAGAGGCTCCAAATTAGACAATAAACCATTGTCTTTTCCTGCTATGGTGAATGAAAACAACCTTTTTTGAGTTTTTCTTGTTTCTCAGCAGCTTTTTCTGTGTTGTCAAGTTTTCTTTTCCCTATTGTTGAATCATCGATAGGTGTGCTGAATTTTCCAATAATTTCAGTTCCATTCATTTGTATGCTAACAGGTGAGAGTCGATCATCTGTTTTTGGTTGGGTTTGTGTAAACTGGTTCATGGAATAAGTATGCATTGGAGTTAACATTGGACTTTGAGATGCAACAACTTTTGTTAGATTATTTATTCCTTCCATCATGATCTCCATTGTTGATGCTAGTCGTTTTACTGTGTCTTCTAATCCATTTTTTCTTTCTTTGCTGGATTTTGAATTGGACTTGCTGAAATTTTGTCTTTAGCATCATCATTTTGTACACTTTCCATGTTGCTGCAAAATTCGTGAGTTAATAAATTTCAAATATGTTGTTTTTGTTAAAGAAGTAAATGATGTCAACAAAGATAAATGTAAAGCATGTAACCTAGAAGAAATTTCTATCAGCTGCTTGACCTTCGGTACTTTCTTCTTTCGTGTTGACATCTTAGCCAAATCTGTCGGAGAGGTATTTTTTTTGTTTGCCTTTTTGTTGTTTGAGACACCATTGAAGGATGATTTATGTTGTGTTTGCCTGTGTTAAAGCTCGTAATTCCTATAGTCCAATATTGAACCCTTGCACCTGTCTTAAATAACATGACATGTTATTGTAATTCTTGAAGAATTTGAATGGACATTTTAGGGTTTAGAAGTGGGATGAAATAAATTTTTAATATTAATGACTTTCATAAAACACACGCACGTGATGCTCGTAAGGGAATATGATTCATTTTTTATGGTTTAACAATCATATCCATTATATTTAAAGAAGCAGACTTTCATCTGACAGAAAACATACACTGAGCCACGACATGCTTTTATTGGATGTGCTTTTAAATTTTTAAATAAGAAACATACTTTTCTATTGGGGATGTGTATAGTTGTTTCCCGTGATCTGAAAGGGCTACCAAATATATATTTGCACAACATACAACCAACTATATATGTTGTACAACTATGTGTTAAATACAGATGAATATATTGATAACATGAGAATATTAAATATTAGATAATGACAAACATAAAATAACTTAACAACATGCCTTTGATGGCAATATATATTGAAATGTACTAAATAATGAAGTTCATAAATAGCAATAAAGTACTTCTATAAAACTACAATGTCCAGTTCAAAATTAAAAGTGGGACATAACAGAAACTGTCAACCCGAAAGTCATAAATTACTTAAAAAAAATTATTAATGAACTTTGAATATTTTGACTGAATAATTAAAATAAATAACATATGATTATTAATATAATATACTTTACTAATTATTATTTAATTGTTTGCTGGCAGAATTTTATTGTTAAATACGTCGTTGCTTGGAACATAAATGATTATGCATATTGTTTTTTATTTGATGTCAATCAAAAAATACAATATGAATCATATATAAGCAGAAGATCGTCTTGTCATGCTAAGGAGTGTTATTTGAGTTCTGCATGGATGCAATTTATGAAGGCTGGAAAATTCAAAGAAGGTGACGTCCTCAATAGGGATGGCAAATAAACCTGTACCCGTGGGTAATACCCGAACCCGTCCCGACTTTGACGGGGAATACCCGCTTTGACCGGGTACGGGTACGGGTAAAACCTGATAAAAAAATCGGGTACGGGTACGGGGTCGGGTATATACTTACCCGCCCCGTTCCCGTCCCCGTCCCCATCCCCGTCCCCGGTTAAATACCTGTCCCCGGTTTTATTTTTTAAAAAAAATTAACATTTTAAATATTGTTGTAAAATGTAAAGGCCACGAGGCTGCAAACACTTAGGTTAGGGTTTCAATTTTCTGATTCATAGTCCAGTGTCCGACAAGCAGTTTTGACAGCGGAGACGCTGGCG